GCACGGCTCAGGGTACGTCAGGTCTCACAGGAGGCACCTGCAAAATTTCTTCCAAGCCAGACAACTCAATGTTCCAACTTGGCAATTCTGCATGCTTTGGAGACCACAAGCTGACAGACGCCCTTTAACAGAAGAGCTATGTGCCCCGCTCCACGATGGCAGCTCCCTCAAGGTCCCGCATGGCGAGCTGTGGCCGTTACAGAATTAAGCAGAGGAGAGAGTAGTGCCTGCTACTCCTAAGGGACTTCTACAGAGATGTCCCTTGGTTACTGCTGAGCACCTTGTTTGCAGCAAGGTGTCCAACAGAGATTAGTTAATGGGGAAGCAGGGCAATGACTTCGCAAACCTCCATTTCTCCTTCCTGCAAATTCCTACTTTTTTGCCCATAGGAAAAGGTCAATAAAAAGAAAAAAAAAAAATAATCTAAGAATTTATTCTGGTATACGGATATTTCTGACATTTGAAGTTACACTCTTTATATTAGCTAATTAATACTAATAGTGCCGATATCAGCCATGGGAAAATGCTGTTGATAAAAATGTCAGTATAATAATTTAAAGCATTGACAAACTCACCTTCATTGGTTGTGTACGAAAAGAAAAAGATCCACAGGGTACACAGCACGGCGCTCGGGAGTCCTGCCATCACCGACACTGGCCAGGCTCAGCAGGATGAGCTGTGCTGAAATTCTGCCAACAGAAAACATGGTTATAAGCTTACATCAGCGTCCCAGTTCAGGTACGGGGGTAGCTCTTCCCACCACTCTGCCAGATGTTAGGATTCAGATCCCTGCGGTGCCTGATCCCCCCGAAGTTAGCTCTTACAACAACAAATGTGTAGAAGAATAAGGATAATACAAATGAGCTAGAAGATTCTTCTGCAAAGTTTTAATTACAGAGTGCTTTTAATTACTGCTGTTGGCAGCTGACCTCCTCTTTTCAGCTGCTGGAAAAGCAAGAGCTGCTGGTGTGCGAGCTATTAAAAGGGTAAGCACTGGATCAAAACCACCGACAATCAACATGTCACCAAAGCCCTATTGATTCCACTCAGATAACTGAAAGCATTTAAGAACAAAGCATCTGATCTATTGCCTACAACGTTTTGCCCAACTCCTATCACCAGTACACTAGATAGATAGGAATAATGTCATCCTCTCAAAAAAGATTTTAGTGAAGTCCTCCAAGCCTTGCTTCAACAGAATGCAGGTTCATTAATACAGTAAATAATTAGAAAGAAGTTGCAAAACACACACCTAGCCATGACATAACCAGCACAACTTTGGAGAAGGAAAATGACGCAGCTTTTACATATTAGAATTATTTAAGCACAGTGAAGCTGCTTAAGTAACCTGAAAACAGATGAAATAATTAAAGACTTTCAAAAAACTTACTTCCCCAAGATTCTTTTGCTGATGCAATGTAGACATTTGGTGGAAGATCATAATCTGGATTAGATATGGTATAGCTACCAGCTTTCACATCCCTGAACACACATGTAATGCATTTAAAACTTGGGTTAATTTGTAGCTACAGTCATGCTAACTAACATGGAATAGCCATGACCTTGCATCCAGCGTGGAGGGACAAAACTTGCTCAGCAGCACATCGTCTCTTAACACGCAGGCCTTTCGTCCCTTCTGCTCATGCTTTTGGCATTGTCTCCTCTCCACATCCCGATGCAATGTTCTTACTGCCCGTGTGCTACAGTTGCTCTGCTTACACCTGCAAGGTGCCCAGGGGCCACATTATTTTTGATTTCAAAACCTTATGACTCTTTCTGTGCGACTGAGTGAAGAGGAGAGAGCTTCCCGGGAGATGTCCTTTAGCGTGAGAATGGCGTTGGGCATTCTGCGGCAGCTTTGTTAGATTCTGACGTAGAAGAGACCTTTGAAACATATTTGGTGGTGGTGGTTCAACACCCCCTGCTCCTGCTCCAGTAGCAGAACAACCTTTAACGCTTCCAACGTTAATTTGAGTTGCGCCAGCACCCAAGACAAAAGGAATTGGCAAGGGATCAGGAGCTCTGCTGTGGTATAAACTTGTGAAGTGATTAGTTTAGGAAAAATTAATGACCTTTTGGAAGTATGCCTGTGAGCAGTGTATACATGTAAGGATGTGCAGCCTCCGAGGCATGCCACCAAAGCCATATACCGTCACAGAACTCCTCTCTAACACTGGGAAGATTCTCAAGTATTTGCTGCCGAGTATGTGTTGTCAAATACTGCAATAAACACAAGACAAGCAAAGGCTGGGCTCCTTCACAGCTGAGCAAAGGACAGAAAAATTCCTTTTTTGTAAAGAAGACCACACCTTTTATTGACACACCTAGATAAATCAAACTATATGAAATGTGGCAATAGGATTTTCATTTTTTTCCCCAATATATTTAGAAGTACCAGCACTTCACTTAGGGTCAGTCTTCAGTATGTCAGATTCAGCTCTGAGGCCATGGCCTCATACCCGAGTTTCTGCCTTTGCCAGCAAAGTCATGTTTAGTGATACCGTATCTCTTCCATTCTCACATGCATGACTGTCCACCCTTTAGAAAAAGCTTCTAAAGACTGAACATGGGAAACGTCAGTCTTGGAGGTTAAGGGATACGAGCATTGTTAGTAAAAATAGATTAGACCAGAAACTCTTTTGTGCCCTTCTCTGAGGCAGCTACTGCTTCTCAGTAATAAAGGACAGATTTCTCACAAATGCTCAAGAAAATCATTACTCAGGAGCTGAGCTTTTCACATTTTGGGAACAGCCAAGACATGACTGAGCACAGTAATAAATGTTTTGAAAAGAACACAAATGCCTTTGCTGCTGCTCAGGGAAGAAAGAAAAAAAAAAAAAAAAAAAAGAGCAAACTAAACTGCTCCAGTATAAAAAAATCCTTCTTCTTTTCCTCCCTTTTCCTGGAACTCTCAAGAGAGGAAATGTTTGCTTTCCAGTCCATTGTTAGGTAATACGGCATGACTGGAGTTCCAAGAAACTCTTAAAACTTTGGCAGAGAATGCTGTATCACATAAGCATATATGAATCAGCAGATGGCAAAAATATCTCCCCCATAGGAGAAAAGATCTGCACACGTTGATGAAAACGGTGCTTTAACCCGCAGCTCTAATGAATCTACAAAGTTGGGGTTTTTTTAATAGGAATAGGGTTTTTTGAATAGCGGACTATAAATCCCATGCAAAGCAAAGAAAATTTTAAAATGGCAATAGCTTTCTTGTATGTTAGCTCTTAAGTTTTTCTTTATATCAGATCATGAAATACCAATCTTAAAAAAGTATTTAACATATACAGCAAATACTCAGATTACAGCTAAGCAGGTAATCCCAATATAGCTGAGGAAAGTAAAGTGTAAAAGACATAAGTGACTTCCCCAAAAGTACAGAAGAAATCTCTGTTGGGGCTAGAAGCAAGCCTGCGCGATCACTGGCACAGTTACGGGCTTTTACCGCTTATCACTTCTGTCTCCTGAAAAAAAAATGATGCAATTGAAAAGACTTCATTTGCTATCAAGAACACCAGTAATAACTTCTTGTCTGGGCTTCTAAATAGATCAGGGTCACATTTATTCTACAGGCGTAATTTGCACGATGGTTACCCTCAAAGAGCAACTCATGCTCAGAAGACAGGCAACGGCGATTTCTACATGAGACTGCTTAATTTACTTCTGCTGCACTGGTACAGGCAAAGGACCACTCCCTGTTTTAAAACTGCCTCTTTTCCAAATTAAAGTACATCTTGTCGCATTCTTTCTCGTTTAAAACGTTGGCTGCAACTGCAGACTAAAGTGAGGTAAGCAGCGCATAGCAAAGAGAAGCAAAAGTTCCTAACTGATTTTGCATCAAGAGTTGAAAAGGAAAGAAAATGTAGGGAGTCATTTCCATCTTTTTTTTATCGCTGCTTCTAATAAATTTTTTTCTAAGTGCCGATACAAAATGGCAGACCCAGAGGAACATAAATCGTGATACCAGCTCTTTGACAGGCAATGTGACTGCCACAGGCAACCGCACAAAGCGTGTGAAAGGTGGAAAGCGTGGGCGTCTCAGACAAAGTGGGTTTTCACAAGAATTTGGAAGCTGAGGAGGGACTGCTGTCTGCTGCATGAAGGAGGAGGTTTGGATGGAAGAGCAGACTGGAAGATACTCGGAAATTCCAGTAATCAAGAATGGCCACTTTGGTCAATGAAGGGCCGAAAGATAAAGTTCAGTAGTTCCTACTTCGCGTTATCTAAGCTGAACAGCAACCCATTCCCACGCGCCGCTTTGCCGTTCAATTAACACACCGCCGCGCTGGTGTTCTCTCCTCTTGCCGAGACCACCGCAGCGAGCAGCGCTGGGCAAACAGAAACTCAGACCCGTGGCCAGGTCCTTGGATCACGGCTGCTTTAGTGGGGAGGCTTTCTCCCATTTTTTACCTTACAGGGCGTAATACCCCTATTATTGCTTACCCAACACGGTATTCTCCGCATCATTGTACGATCGCTAAAGAAGGAATTTACCTTCAGAATGGTGGATTTTAAAGGAGCAAGACATTCTCTTTTATTCTTTTTAAACGAGTAATTTTCCTAATATTTTAACGTCATCCTCGTTCCGCGGGTTCCTTCACGTAGTTTGGGATGCTTACCATTTTAATGCCATTTTACGCGACAACATACAAATGGTATCTGCGTTTCTGGAGCAGGACAGGGTGCATCTGGATAAACCTCTCCTCATAAATATGAGGAGAACCTCTCAAAATGAGCAGATGGGTTCTCTTTAAATGGCCTGAAAATGGTAACATTTTACTTATGCCTTAAGCTGAAGCTCCTGCATGCCAGCAGATTTTCGTATTGAGATGACAGAAGTCAGCACAGGGCATAACAACACGTCACCTGGGCCTACAAGGGATACAGTACTTGCACATTATTTGACAAACTGCAAATCATAGTCTGCAAGCAGCCAGATACCATCAGATATTCTTCTAATTTAGAACTGACAGAAACTATGGAAACTGCTGAATTCAGACATGTTGAAAAAAATGCCCAAAATAGAACCCGCCTAGACCAAAATGACTGGAACAGCTCACTTCTGATCCTACGCTTCCGAACCCCTGGTTCTGAGGGTTTAACATAAATGCGTCTGAAGTTCTCTTAGAACCCATACACGCTGGGAATCATTTTAAAATAACGAAATCTGAGACTCGGGAACAGCCCTAGAGGCTCCCCGGGGGGAACTCTCCGGTGGCGGAGCGTGGCTCCCGGCCCGCAGAGCTCTCACAGGCGAGCGCAGGGAGAGGCCCCGCACCTCCTGCGGCCCCCGGCTGGGTTTCCAGCAGGAAGGAAATTTCCGGGAATCGTGCCGGCTGCCTCCCATCTTTTCAAACGGGGCGCCTGAGTTAAACAACCTCAAGGAAGGAAAAACACTTCTGCCAGCGACAGCGCTTCCG